TCCTGCTGAGGCATCAGCTGGCCTGGGGGATGGAGCCCGGAAGGGGGGGGGGGGTGAAGCCTTGCCCGGCGGGGGATGGAGGGGGGGGTTGGAGCCCAGCCGGGCATCCAAGTTAGAAAGGTGAGTCTCGGCCCACAAAGGGACCGTGTGCCTTAGTCCAGCTGATGGTGCAGAGGCTCACCATTAGGTGAAGTTTGGGGCGGTGGAGACCCACAAGGGGGTAATCTGCATGAATGAAGGAAGGGCCATGCTGAGGAGATCAGAGAGCCTTTGAAAGCCTGGAGTCCTCATTGCAGCCTCTGTTTTCCTCATGTCCCAGTGAAAAATCCAAATTCTCAGGATCCCCAGCCTGTGTCTATTGGGATGGGGTCAGATCAGAAGCTCTTTCTGGTTTTTTGTGTCCTGGACACCTGGGACAGTCTGGGAATGGCTTCTTTCTCAAAAATCATGGTTTTAAGGGAGAAGAAGCTAAACTCCAGTTAGAGGCAAGTGAGAATAAAGATGCCATTCTCTCCCCTAAGTTCATGGACCCCCTTAAACAGATCTACCAACCCCTTGGAGGGGGGATCCATGGGCCCAAGGCAAGAACTCCTGGGTTGGATGAACTCAGAATGAAGTCCCTTCATCTTCATTAATAGCACCCCTCAGCAGGGGAATGGGGGAGTAGGGGAGGAGGATGGTGCAGCAGGGAGAAGGAGGCTGGGGTCCTGGCCAGGCCGGCAGGAGCAGGGACCTTGAACGCACACCTGGCACTGCCTGGGGCTCTGTCTTCAAGTGTGACCTCAGCATGAATACCAGATGGCTTCATTAGGATTGTCAAGACCACTGGAGACCCCTGAGGCTGTTACCCTGGCCCTGACAGGAATGGACCTAAGGACCATTCTGGACCAGTCCAGAAAGCATAGGTAGAACACTGAGAATTGTTGGGACCAAGCACAAAGGTCAGAGGGCAGTGGAGAGGAGAGAGGGAGTCAGAGCACCTGGGTTCAAATCCTGGCTCTGGTGCTCTGTGACCTAAGGCAAGCCACTTTGCTCCCCTGGGCCTCAGTTTCCTTATCTGTAAAATAGGAGGTTGGATGAGATGGCCTCTGAGGCCCTTCTAGCTCTAGAACTGGGGTCCCAGGAATGGGTAATAGAAGAAAAGGATGAGGGGGGTTCTTCTTGGGGAGAGAAGGCCCTGTGTGGGTGGCTGCCTGGTCTTGAGTGTGGTTCTGAGTCTTCTAGTGAAGACTAGACAGCCATTCTGGTGTTTCCTGCTAGTTGCAGAAAGAACTCTTCCTCTTCCTCCTTCTCCTCCTTCCTCTCCTCCTCTTCCTCTTCCCCTCCTCTTCTTTCTTCTCTTCCTCCTTCTCTTCCTCTCTTCCCCTCCTCCTCCTCCTCCTTCTTCTCCTCCTCTTCTTCCTCTTCTCCTCCTCCTCCTTCCTCTCCCCCTCCTTCCTCTCCCCCTCTTCCTCTTCCCCTCCTCTTCTTTCTTCTCCTCCTCCTTCTGCTCCTCTTCTTCCTCTTCCTCCTCCTCCTCCTTCCTCTCCTCCTCTTCCTCTTCCTCCTCTTCCCCTCCTCCTCCTTCTCTTCCTCCTCTTCTTCCTTTTCCCCTCCTCTTCTTTCTTCTCTTCCTCCTTCTCCTTCCTCTCCTCTTCCTCCTCTTCCCCTCCTCCTCCTTCTCTTCCTCCTTCTCTTCCTCTCTTCCCCTCCTCCTCCTCCTTCTTCTTCTCCTCCTCTTCTTCCTCTTCTCCTCCTCCTCCTTCCTCTCCTCCTCTTCCTCTTCCTCCTTCTCCTTCTCCTTCCTGTCCTCCTCTTCCTCTTCCCCTCCTCTTCTTTCTTCTCTTCCTCCTTCTCTTCCTCTCTTCCCCTCCTCCTCCTCCTTCTTCTTCCTCCTCCTCTTCTTCCTCTTCTCCTCCTCCTCCTCCTTCCTCTCCTCCTCTTCCTCTTCCTCCTTCCTCTCCTCCTCTTCCTCTTCCCCTCCTCTTCTTTCTTCTCTTCCTCCTCTTCCTCTTCTTCCTCTTCTCCTCCTCCTCCTTCCTCTCCTCCTCTTCCTCTTCCTCCTCTTCCCCTCCTCCTCCTTCTCTTCCTCCTCTTCTTCCTCTTCCCCTCCTCTTCTTTCTTCTCTTCCTCCTCCTCCTCCTCCTTCTGCTCCTCTTCTTCTTCCCCTCCTCTTCCTTCTTCTGTTTAACCGAAAAATCAGCGAGCGAGACCCAGATATAATTTAAAATGTGGATTTATTGGCTAGAGGCTGCAAGAGGTATGCATATCCAAATCAAGCAGCCCCGATCAGGGGTCGAGCTGGGGTTTATATGGAAAAGAGCATGGGAAAGAAATGCCAGGAACACTGATGAGGTAATCCAAAGGTGCAGGTGTCTTTGGGGGCTATGGATGGGAAAGTACAGGGAGTATACCGGACAAGGAGGGGGATGGATCTTTGGAGTCTGGCAGGAGGAAGAGTCCTTGGGCTGGCCAAGGACACCCCTCTCCCTCTGTCTTGATGAAAGAATGCTCTGCAACAAGGAAAAGCTTTCTCACAACACAGGAACTTACTGAGGAATTGGGAGGCTTCCAGAGACATGATCTGAGGGCTGGGGCCTCAGCAGCCCAGCTCTGTGTAGCTGTACCAGGGAGACAGATAAGGGTCATGCTGAGGCCCATGCATGAATAACTGCTAGGCACAGTATCCTTGGGCTGGGGAGTGGTTGTCAGAGACAGTGTTTCTGAGACTAGGGAGAAATTGGGGTACAAGTACAAGCACAAGCACCCGAGCACCCCATTATTATGGGTCAGAGATCACACAAACTAGATCAGGTGTCCTGGTCTCTGGTATAAACACAATTATCTAAAGCAATTATATTGCAGGCTTTCTTATCCATTTGCATTGGAGGTACGGGCTGTGCTGAGCTATGCAAGAGTACATTTCACTATTGTTTAGATTTAGGAGGAAAGAGGTCTGGGGCAAGATTAAGCACCAACTTTTGCTTTCCATGGCTTAAAGGGCCCTACTACCTAAATGGCAAAATAATGTTCTGCATTACACTTCTCTTCCTCTTTCTCTTCTTCCTCTTCCCCTCCTCCCCTTCTTCTCCTCCTCCTCTTCCCCTCCACCCCCTCCTTCTTCTTCTCCTTCTCCTCCTCCTCTTCCTCCTCTTTCCCTCCTCCTCCTCATTCTTCTTCTTCTCCTCCTCTTCTTCCTCCTCTCCTCCTCCTTCCTCTCCTCTTCCTCTTCCTTCTCTTCCTCCTTCTCTTCCTCTCTTCCCCTCCTCCTCCTCCTTCTTCTTCTCCTCCTCTTCTTCCTCTTCTCCTCCTCCTCCTTCCTCTCCTCCTCTTCCTCTTCCTCCTTCTCCTTCCTCTCCTCCTCTTCCTCTTCCCCTCCTCTTCTTTCTTCTCTTCCTCCTTCTCTTCCTCTCTTCCCCTCCTCCTCCTCTGCCAATGTCTAAAACACTCTGCCCAGTCTCTCTGTCCTCCACCCTCCCTGGGCCATCGCCTGTCATCCTGACCTGTGTCCTGCCACTGGACTCCGTTGACTCTGGAGAAGAGGGTGAGGCTGGTGACTTTGCACAGCCCTGCTTCACTTTGATCTGATGATCCACTCGTAGGTCAAGACATGGCCCCAGGATGTCCTTGGTCCTCTTGGAGAATAAGGGTGAACAATATCCAAGCATGGGAACGATGCCCATTTTGGTTTTGCTTCGCTGTTAGGATTTTGCCCTTTAATAAAAGGAAAGGAACGAAAATGCCCTCCCCAAAGGCTCAGGGCCCATGCACATAGTAGTAGCCCAGCAAAGGCTGGGTGAACTGAACACCTGACACAGACGAACATGGGAGGGTGCAGTGCCTTGAAGGTCCCAGAATTAAGAACCACAATTTGCAGGAAAATCTTGACAGGAACAAAACAGGTCCTGGGGTTTAGGGGAGGGAGGGGAGTAAAGAAAGAAAGTGACTGGCCCAAGGGCTAACAGGTATTTAGGAGAAGAGCTGAGATTTGGCCGCTTTGTTGGTGACTTTATGTAACTAGGGCCAGAGAAGGATAAGGCTGCCCCTTCTAGCCTCCCATCGATGAGAGGCTAGACCTCCCAGAAGCCCAGAGTCTTTGAGCTGGAAGGGACCTTGGAGTAAACTGAGTCCAGTCACCCCTGGAAAGCTTCCCCAGGATGGCACCCAACCAGAGGCTGTCCAGATTCTGCTGCAGGACCCACAGAGTGGGTGCCACCCTCCACTTTGGGGCACCCTCCTAGCCGGCTTCAGGCGGCCTCACTGCAGCACGCATGCCACTCCCTGCCACCCCCTGCCACCCCAGACTCCTCTATCTTTGCCCAGGTGTGATGAGACTTTGGACATAACTGTCGCTGTTGCCCTCTGGTGTCTGACTGTAGGCAAAGCAGCTCTCTCATGAGAAATCTTCCAGCCTCAGGGGGAAAGGATCTAGGTGCAGGCAGGGCCTCAGCTGGGCTGGAGGGACCAGCAGCTGCCAGAGGTAGGCGTGCTGTGCTTGTGCGTAGGGGCACTTGGGCCCAGTTTGTATCCACCCACACCCACTAAGGACAGCGATCCAGGAGAGAAAAGGGGCACTTGGGCCCAGTCTGTATCTGCCCGCACCCACTCAGGACAGCGATCCAGGGCAGAAAAGGGGTGGTTTGCCAGTTACAGTCACTAGGCTCCAACCCTGGCCCCTGTGCAGCCTGGAGCAAGCCCAACCTCTCTGGGCCTCAGTTTTCTCATTGGTCACAGAAAGGGGTTTAAGGAGCTTGCCATGAGAGGTGATGAGCTCCCCATCCCTGGAGGTCTTCAAGCAGAGGCAGAACAACCATCCACTGGTCAGGCATGCTAGAGGGGGGATTCTTTTCATGTCCCAGTTGGGTGAGAGGCCACTGAGATCCCCTCCCAGGCTCTGGTTCTGTCATGACCTCTAGGGCCCCTTCCAGCTCTCATTTCATCATATGGTCCTATGATCTTTTTTCTTGGGAGCAGAGTGGTATGAGAAGAATACACTCAGTCAGTCAGTCAACATGCATGCATTTATTAAGTGTCTACAGGGTACCTGATCCTGATACCAGGGAGATGGTGGGGGAGGGGGGAATAGGAGCCTCGACTGCTTCACCTGGGAGACTCCCAGTGTAGAAATCCCCCAGCACAAGAGTCCCTGACCCTTAGTGGAGTAAGGACATGAGCAAGCCGATGGCCTCATCCACCTTTGTAAGCGCTACTGCTGTCCTTGGAGGGGAGAGACTGCAGTTTGGTCCAAAGGATTGCTCTTACAATGGAATGAGTGTTGGTCTCCTGCCCTCGAGCAGATCAGAAAATTCTCTTGGCTTTCCAGATTTTCCCCTTGTCTCCCTTGGCTGACCCTTCTCTCTCCACCCCTCGCTGTCCTGGGAAATGCTTTCCTCTTCTCCCCTAAGTGGATGTTCAGTGTTGCTGACCCAGGCTGCCGAATCTCTGCCCTGGAATCGGAGTCTTCCTAATAAACTCTCTGCTTTCTGTGGGGCCTCCTGTCTCTGACCCACAGTCATGGAGCCCTTGCTGGCAAAGCCACCAAAGCTCTCGGGCCTCCTCAGCAGACCTCAGAGCAGCCCCTCCAAAGATCTCAGCCCCTGGCCCCATTCCGATGCATCCTGACAGTTGCTGGGGCTTTTCTTGTGGGCGTCTGCATCACCTTCCCCCAGTGCCACTCTTGCTTTTGAAGGGTCTGTTTTACTGGTTTGTTCCTTTCTTTTCCAGAGACTCAGGTAAAGCTGCCAACTCATCACCCAGAGAGGAAAGAGCATGGGAGGCCAAAGTTAAAAGACCCATAGCCCAGGGATCGGGAGCTCAGAATTCACTGAAAGAGGGAACTTCCAGGTGAGTGACCTCCCTCCACTGATGCAGGTGAGTACCTTCTCAGCTCAGGAGCTCAGCGGTCCTTGAGAGTGGCTAGAGAACTGTCTGCCCAGGGTTCCCCCCGGCTCTTTAGCCATCGGGCCAAACGTTGGGGACAAACGTTTGGATTTCCCTTCATTCCTCCTGCAACTTTGGGTTAATATTAACCACAGCTGACCAAAACCTGTCTCAGTGGATGTGAACATTCTCTAGAGCCTTAAGCATTCCTTAGATTAGAAGCCAGAGGAAGAACATCAACCTTCCCTGACTCCTTGGTGATAGGTAAAAAGTCCTCCTCAATTAGCCCATTGTGAATCCTCCATGTGTGGCTTAATCTATAACGGATTCAGTCTGTTGGATGAGGTTTGTTTCCTTAGGGGGTATATGAGATCCTGACGGTTTAACTAGTTTGTTCCACTCTACAACAGGATTCAGGCTATTGGATGAAGTTTGTTTCCTTAGGGGGTATATGAGATCATGATGGTTTAACTAGTTTATTCCACTCTTGTGACATCTAAGGAAGCAGGGGATTATGGCTCTATCTTCTGTGCAACTTTAAGGTCTTAGAAGGGTGTAGGGGGTGTCCAGGGAAGGCTAGTACCCCTGGTGTGAGGGCTGCTTTCCACCTTTGGTGTCCACCCGATCCACCCAGCTCTCGCCTGTGGCTCCAAGAAGCTGTGGCACATGCCGTGGCCAGACCCCAGAAAGCCACTTTGGAAGATGGGCTAAATCAGGCTGAGGGTAAGTGAGGGGTCTCAGACCCATGGGTGAGTTAGGGGGGCATCTGCCAGGAGCAGAACAGAGGTCTGTACACAAAGTCTGGCGATCTGACCAAGGTCTTTGATACTGTCAGTCATGAGGGCTTGAGGACGATCATGGCAAAATTGGCTTTCCAGAGAAGTTCATCAGTATTGTACATCAGTTCCGTGACAGCGTGCTTGCCCGGGTTCGGGATAGTAGATGATGCTCTCACAAACTCCCATCACCAGTGGAGTGAAGCAGGGCTGTGTGCTTGCTTCCATGCTTTGTAGCAGGTTGTTTTCAGTGATGTTGTCAGACACCTCCAGTAAGGACAAACACGGCGTCAAGGTCAGCTACCACACTGATGGGAAACTATTTAACTTGAAAAGGCTACAAGCCAAGACTAAAGTGGAGGGAGAGTTGGCGCATGACTTTTTGTCCCCGGGCACACAATGCATCCCCTGAGGCTGAGATGCAACAAAGTATGGATTGACTCTGTGCCCCTTGTGTTAATTTTGGCCTGACCATTAACACCCAGAAAACATGGGCTCTCCATCATCCAGCTCCGCACCACACACATCAAACCACATGCATCATACATCACCACACACATCAAACCACTGGCTATAGTAAATGAAGTTTTACATAAGTTCACGTACCTTGGTGGTATGCTTTCCAGAGATGTGCATGTAGACGATGAGGTTGACCCATGCGTTGCCAGAGTTAGCTCGGCGTTTAGGAGGCTGCCAAGGAAAGTGTGGGAAAGAAAAGGGATTAGGCTGCCTACCAAAATGGAGGTCTACAGAGCTGTTGGGCTGACTCATTGTCATACGCCTGTGAAACCTGGACAGCATACCAGCCCCATGCCAAGAAACCGAATCTCTTGCGTTTAAATCATCTTAGGAAGATTCTGAAAATTACCTGGCAAGATAAGGCCTTGGACATGGAGGTCCTTTCTCTAACAAAGCTGCCAAGCATTCAGACTCTGCTGCAGAGGGCGCAGCTCCAAAGGGCTGGCCACACTGCTTGGATGCCAAACATACATTTGCCTAAAAGACTATTTTACAGAGAGCTCACACAGGGCAAGTGCTCACTCACATGGAGGTCAGAAGAAGCGATACCAGGACACTCTCAAGGTCTGTCTGAAGAACTTTGGAATTGATTGGGAGACCTGGGAGACTCTGGCACACGGCTGCCTAGCATGGTGTGCCCACATCAGAGGCACTGTGCTCTATGAGCAAAGCAGAATTGCAGTGGCTCAAAAGAAATGTGAGATGCACAAATTTAGAGAATCCACCCCAAATGATCACATGAACTGCTTGTGCCCAACCTGTGCTAGAAGCCTTCCCAGCTTGGTCAGATCGGGCCGATCAGCCACAGTCGGATGCCCCGGACCTTGACCCCAACATCATGATATCATCTGGGTCCGCTCTGAGGACAAAGGGTGACCACCACAGCCGTGGTCTGGAGGACCAAGCTTGGACCAGGGTGTAACACGTGAAACACCACTTCTCTGTCACTGACATCATTTTTTCTAGATAAAGCCTCATCAGAAGCCTCGTGGCTGCCTGCACTGCATGTAAGCGCAATAATAAAGCCTCCGTTTTTACCTCCATTGTTTCTGCATTGTGGGGAATCCATAATGGGCAGCAGCCCCCCCCCCCCAGCCTGAGCTCTGAGGAGAACACCGTGGGTGACTGCTTCCTATGAAACACAATGCTATTATAAACACAATAAATGAAAGGGTATGTACATGTAAGTAGGGCCACACTCAGTCTTGACTCTCTCAGAGATCGACATTCCACATTGGACAGCATGGAAAATGCCTGCACATGTCCACACGCCCACACAAATGCACATTCACACACACTCACACACACACACACACACACACACATGGACATACACAGACCCACACTCTGTGATAAATAAAAAATTCAGGAGATGGAGTTTCTGGGTAATTAATCATTTTATCAATCACGCTAGCAATATTGAATAAAAAGGGTCGGCACTCTCCAAGGCAGAAGGCCCCTCCCAGAGTCTCGTCTGATTGGTTAACAAGCAATAAGACAGCATGAGTATTCCAGCGAGGGGCTGGGGGCCTTCATTACGATCATCGTTCAGACCTGTCCGAGGACAGACAACCTCAGCAGGCCGGATTTCACCCATATTAGATTCAGTTCTTCCTAAAGTTCTCTAGGCGGGTGCGGTCTCCTCTGCCGGAGGGAAGCCACATCCCCTGGGGATCTGGGCAATCTCATCCATCAGCAACGCCCTTCAGGGACAGAATAACCTACCTGTGGACTTTGGAAAAAAGCCTGGTCCTAATCCAGTAATCAGCTATTCATAGGAGAGAAAGAATCATTTCTCTCAACACAGACATTCATATACACACAAACACGCATACATACATCTACAGACTCTTTCAACACACATAACGAATCACACATGGACATGCATACCTACACGTAGACACATGTGTACATATACAGGCTCATAAGACACACATGCATAATACACACATACACACATTCACATACTCTCACACAGACTCACATACATACACAGACACACACACACACACATACATATACAGACACACACGTACATTCACATATTCTCACATACACACACTCCCACATAGACTCACATATATACACATACACACAAACACACATACATACATCTACAGACTCTTTCAACACACATAACGAATCACACACAGACATGCATACCTACACGTAGACACGTGTGTGTACATATACAGACTCATCAGACACACATGCATAATACACACATACACACGCACATTCACACACTCACATGCACATACTCTCACACAGACTCACATACATACATACACAGACGCTCACACACACATACATATACAGACACACATACATTCACATATTCTCACATACACACACTCCCACATAGACTCACATACATACACATACACACAAACACACATACATACATCTACAGACTCTTTCAACATACATAATGAATCACACATGGACATGCATACCTACACGTAGACACATGTATGTACATATACAGACAAGACACACATGTATGCATACATACACTCACATGCACATACTCTCACACAGACTCACATACACAGACGCTCACACATGTACATTCATATATTCTCACATACACACACCCTCACATAGACTCACATACATACACACACATACACATGCACATTCACACACTCACATGCACATACTGTCACACAGACTCACATACATACACAGAAGCTCACACACAAACACACATACACATACATTCACACATCCCCTCCACATACATATTCCTTGCAAACCTGTTACTCCACGCTTTTGGCTCCCTCCTTCCCTCCACCAAGGCAAACCCGGTGCCCATGAGTCACAGCCCAAGGAGCTGGGCCAGAAGGGCCACTGTCTCTTCCCCAAAGGGAATAGTCCATCTCCTCCCCTGGGCCTTTGCCAGGCTGCCATCATGCCCGCCAGGTGCACCATCTTCAGCTCCATCCTCTCAAGCCCGGCCTTCCTCTGTGTCTCATCTTGGTTGGCAGTTTTTACAGGACGCCAGCTGCCGGGGCTCTGCACTCTCTTTAAATTACCTCGGTTTTACTTTGCTGCCCAGTACAAACTCTTGGGGGGGGGAGGTGCTGTTTCAATTCTGTCTCTGCTTCTAGCACACAACAGGAGCTGAGGGTGGGCCAAAGATGGGAGGGGGCAGCTGGTGTCTGGATAGGCTCTGAGGGCTTCTGTGCAATCCCTCAGCGCAAAGCAGGCCTTTCTGGACCCAAAGAGAGGAAGCCACGGGCAGGGGACTAGGGCATGCCACCAGGCCTGTCACGTGCCCTGGAACCCACCGTCTCAGGGTGATCTCATTTCCCTGGGAACCCCTCGAAAGAGCCTTGGAGAAAGCTTAGGGCAGAGGCAGAGGTGGGCCGGGCACAGATACCCGTGAGCCGGGAGGGCTTCCCTCACAGGCACGGGACACCCAATGTGTTTGGCGAAGACTCTCAGGTAGGCGAGCTATGGGCTAGATGAGAACATTGGCAGGTGGGTGGCCTTGGCGCTGACCCAAAGAGGAGTCCTCGGTGCCTCTGGGTCACCTGGGCAGGATGTGTCCAGTGGAGGGCCTACAGGATCTGCACTTGTCCCGGAGAGCGCACAGCCATCAAATGTGCAGAGGGAACAAAGTTATTCGTGCATTTCCAATTATGGCTAAAGTATTATCTAATATATAAAATAGCCTTTGCTGTGCAGTCATGTTTAGGGCTTTCTTGGCAAAGATAGTGGACTGGTTGCCGTTGCCTTCTCCAGCTCATTTTACAGATAAGGAAATGAGGCAAACAGGATGAAGTGACTTGTCCTGAGCCGCACAGCTAGGAGGTGTCTGAGGCAGGACTTGAACTCAAGTCTTCCTGGGACCAGGCCCAGAGCACTATTCCCTGGGCCACCTAGCTGTCCCTCAAGACGTCCATAGACGTTAATTAAGCACCTACTGTGCGCCAGGCACAGTGAAAAAAGATGACAGTCCCTGCCCTCAAAGAGCTCCTGGTCTCGGAGGCAACATGCACACAACTCCACGACAAGATGCCGGCAGGATCAGGGAAGGGGAAGACCCTGGCCCGGGGTGGGGGTGGGGGCGGGGGCGGTGGAGCAGGGGCAGGAAAGGCTTCCCGGGGGCCCTAGGAAGCTCAGCTGCTCCCACCAGAGGGAAGGGCAGACTCTGCTGGGAGGGCCGGGCCAGGGAGAACCTGCCAATGGTCAGAGCCTGCCAATGGTCACAGCCTGCCCTCCCTGGGTTTGTGAAGCCCCAGGACCTGAGTTCAAGTTCTGACTTTGCCATTTAGTCCTGCTGCCAGTCACCTGACTTTTCTGGGCCTCCCCGGGGTGATGCCATGAGGTCCATCCCCCCCACCCCCAACCCCCACCCAGCTACCCGAGGCGGCGGTGCAGGTGTGTCTCCTCCACCCCTCCCCCACTCCCCGCAGCCCATGGTGGGAGGGGACACCCTTTTTCCCCTCCCCTCGTGCCCCACGGGCTCCTAGGGACAGGGCTCCGCACACACTAGGCCTCCTCTGACCAGTGAGGCGGGATCCCGGTTCACAGGATTGGGGGCGGGGCCTGTGATGGGGCGGGGCCTAGTGTGGGGGCGGGCCTCCCAAGCTCCGGCTCGCCGCCGGCTCCGCCCCTCCCAGGCCGGCTCCGCCCCGTCGCTCTCTGGGCGTTGTAGTCCGCAGGCGCTCGGCGCGCACGCGTGTCCGGGAGCCCAGGACTCCAAGTCCCAGAAGGCCGCGCGCCTCCTCCTCCGCCCCCGCCCCTCCCCCTCTCTGGAGTTCCATGTGAGTCTGCCCAGCCAGGCCCCGTCCAGTCCAGTCCAGTCCACTGTCCGCAGTCGGGTCCAGCACAGTCCAGCGTCCGCAGTCCGGTCGCTGCTCCCGCCGCTGCCTCTCCCGCTGCCGGTGCTGGTGCCGGTGCCGGTGTCACCGCGGGGGCTTCAGGGGCCGCCCCCTGCCCAGCACAAGATCCCAGGACTTTGGTGCTGCGGAAGCGTGACTCAGGTACGGGGGTCCCCCTCTCACCCCTGCCCTGCCCGGGGTCCGCCGTGGGGGAGGGGGGAGGGGACGGTGCACCCGAGGTCCGGCCTTGCCCGCACACGTGTGTGCCCGCCTGCAGTGCAGGGCAAGGAGCCCGCAGGGTCCTGAACCCCCGGCTCCGGACCTGAGTCAGGGCCAAGTGGGGGTCGAGGAGAAGACGGAGTGGGGGGAGGTAGGGGGTCCTCCTGGCACCGCGCCAGTACACGTGGGTGCGCCACGTGGGGCCCTCAGAGGAGGCCCCAGATCGGGCAGAGGTCTGGGGCAGTCTCGTCCCATTTTACAGAGAGGGAAACCAAGCCCCGGAGAGGGGAGAGCCCTTGCCCAGAGACGCGCAGGGGTTAAGTATTTGAGCCCTAGTTGCCTGGGCTTCCCACAGGGCTGGGGACACACATCAGGTCAGTGGGGTTCCCTCCCTTCCAGCGCTGCCTCCTCTGCCTCAGTGACCCTGGGAGGTCTTTGGGGAGGAACCATGCCGGGTCCTCCCGGTGTGACCCTCTATTCCCACTGGGAGAGGGAGGCTCCGAAAAGCCTTGGCTAGGACTCCCCCCGCGGGGACGTGGTAGGGCAGGCGCAGCCCTGGCGGGGGAGGGGCTGGGGGGGCTCTTAGTGACCCCTCCCCTGCCCTCCCCTCTTCCTCTGTATGGAGCTGGGAGGGAGGAGGGGCGGCAGCTGAGTAACAGACCCTCCGATCCGGAGGGTCGGGAGAAGCCCCCTCCCTCTTCAAGGGGTCCCAGCCCCACCCAGGATCTGCGAGTCTGAGACAAACGTCCATGAAAACGGGGACTCCCTTTGCAAGAAGTGTGGGAGCATGAGTGTGTGTCTGTGAGTGTGTATGAGTGTGAATGTGAGGGTGTGGGTCCTTGGGGTCCTTGGGCTCCTGAGGGACTGCCCGGGGCTGGAAGACCTCCCGGGGTGTCAGCTCAGTCTGGGGCCTTTCTGCTAGTGGCCCAGCCTCTGTCTTCCCCATTAGACTGGCCATAAGGTCACCCCACCTGCACCTGCACCCGCACCCCGTGTACTCACATGCACCCACGTGCAGCCCAGCAGTAAGGCTCTTCCTTTTCCCCAGAGCGCCAGGATGCATGGCCTGCCCCTGCCCCACACCTCAGTCTCTCAGCCCCTTTGTCCAGACCCCCACCTTCTCCCTCAGGGTCCCTGCCTCACCCCAGCCCTCTCACATGTGGGTGCTTCCGTGGTGGCCCATGGGGCAGGTGCCAGCAGGGGTCAGTCACCTGCTGCTACCGCTTAACTGCCTGGGGCCTCAGTTTCCTAATCTATAAAATCAAGGAGGCTCCACATGGAAGGGGATGGTCCAGGCTGTGTGACCCTGGGCAGACCCTCGCCTGCTCTGTGCCCTTCATGTCCTGGCCTGTGAAATGAGAGGATTGAACTAGCTGTGCCAGCTCTCCTATGAGTGTGTGCACATGTGCATGTGTGTGTATGTACAGACCTTCAGTGGGGCCCCTCTGTCTGCTCCACAGGCTTTCCCTTGGAGAACCTCAGGGCAGCTTTACTCGGTGAGGTCACCATGCTGGGGCTGGGGTCAGGGTAGGGTGTGTCACCTGCTGGGGCACCAGATCCTCTGGTCACACCCCAGCTCAAGGCAGGCTCCCTCCAGGTAGTGCCTCCTGTGGTTCTCTGGCTCCCCCACCCCACCCCAGATCGCTGCCCAGTCTAGTCTCATCCAGAGGAGGCAGCTTGGCCTGGGCTTGGGGGGCTCTAACCCTAACCCTCACCTCAGTCTTGTCGTGCTATGGCGGCAGCTTGCTCTGGGGGAAGGCCAGAATTTGGGGCTTCTGTTCCCTCATCTGTCTGTGGGATGATGGCAGCGATGCTCATGGCCATGGAGGCATGGCATCTGCCTCTGCTGAGGTCCAGCCCTGGGGGGTTGCAGCCTCCAGCTACCCAGAGGCAGGGGCCACTTCAGCCTAAGCCTGTTCTCTTCCCAGAATCCAAAGCCCTAGCATGGGTGGGCCTTAGGGCCTTCCTCCCCACAGGTCTGGCCTGCCTGGGGCCCTTCTTGCAGTGGACACACAGCCCATGCACTGCCAACCTCGTGCCATTTTGGCCCCAGGTACCTCTGGGTGACCTCAGGCAGGACCCCTCCTCTCATAGCCCTGACCAAGCCCATAGGTTGCTTTCCTTGTCAGAATTAGGTTTTTAAATGAATAAACCAAGATAGGAGAGATTGCAAAGAAAACCAATTGTATGGAACCACATTTAGTGAAATATTTTCCCCTTCCAAGTGTGAGGCCCCAGACAGACAAGGGGGGGTGAACTTGAACCTGCTTCTTGGAATAACTTTGGGAGGCCTCTGGCCTGTGGGGGGCCCTTTGGAGGAGATAGGGCGCTGTCCCCATCCCTGGTGCCCTGCAGAGGGCTGCCACACAGACAGAGGCCGAAGCAGGGCCTCCGGGCTGATGCGGAGGCAGTAAATAAGCAAATCTAGGACAAACAGGAAATGGGGGGGCACTCAGTGGAGGGGCTCCCTGGGGGTGGGGGGATTTTAGCCGGGACTTGGGCAGCCAGGAGTCACAGCTGAGGAGGCAGAGTGTTCCTGGCTGATGCAAAAGCAAGGAGGTGGGAAATAATGGTTCCCAGAGTGAGGAAGTGCTTTGCAAACCTTAAAGTGCTCTAGGAAGGGAGGGGCATAGAGATTAATGGACTCTGAGCACTTGTGATCCCAGGGGAAGATTAAGGCCTTAGAAGGGGTGGGCAGCAGGGCACTGATAAAACCTGAGGAAAGGCAGAGCTGGACCCCCCAAAAAAAAGAGAAGGGTGGTGTGGGGTTTGAGACCAGACTGGCCTTGAATGCTGCCCTGCTGCCAGACTGGCCTGGCCAGCCAGAATCATGATAACCAACAGCCAGGTAGGTGCTGAGGGCTTCACTAGTATTATCTCACTCAGCCCTTTGATCCCCCAACCCTATTAGCATCTCCATTTTGCGCTTAGGGAAACTGAGGCAGGCAGAGATGAAGTGACTTGCCCAAAGTCACAAGTTAGGGAGCATCTGAGGCTGGATTTGAATTCAGAACAGTCTGACTCCAGAGCCAGCATGCCTGTCTGTCCAGGGCCTGTTCAGGGAGTGAACCACACACCTCCTTTGCCATCCTCTCCCTCAGGGGGCTGGGGGTGCTGCCAGACTCCACAGCTCTGCTCCCTCCTTGTGCCCAAAGCAGGAACCCCCCAGAATCATCCTGCTTAGCCAGGTGGCTGGGCGCTCAGCCGCAGTGGTGCGCCCTCTCTGTTCATTCAGGCCCTGCCGATGTGGAGGGAGGGAGATGGCCCTCAGGGCTTCCTGGGAGCCTCCCCCTGCCCTCAGACCAGGCTGGCCGCCCCACCTGGTCCCCACAAGCCCTCCTCTCCCTCCCCTTCCTCTCCCTCCCCCTTTTCCCCCTCCTCCTTCCCCCTTTCCTTCCTCCTCTCCCCCTCCCTCTTTTTTTCCCCCTTCTCCCTCCTCCTCTTCCTCCTCTCTCCCCCTTCTCCTCTCCCTCCCCCTCCTCCTTCCCCCTTTTCTTCTTCCTCTCCTCTTCCTCCTGTCTCTCTCACCTCCTCTTCTTCCTCTCTTCTCCCTCCCCTCCTCCCCCTCTTCTCCTTCCCCCTTGCCTTCCTCCTCTCCCCCTCTCTCTTTTTCCCCTTCTGCCTCCTCCTCTTCTTCCTCTCTCTCCCTCCTCATCTCCCTCCCCTTCCTCCTTCTCCCTTTTCTTCTTCCTCCTATCTCCCTCACCTCCTTTTTCTCCTCCTCTCTCTCCCCTTCCTCCTTCCTTCTTCTTCCTCTCCTCTTCCTCCTCCTCCTCTCCCTCCCCTCCTCCCCTCCTGCCCCTCTTCTCCTTCCCCCTTTCCTTCCTCCTTTCCCCCTTCCTCTCTTTTTCCCCTTCTCCCTCCTCCTTGGGAGCCTGGCCCGGGGGTGGAAGAGCTGCTCCCACATCTTACAGATGAAGGGAAGGAGACCCTGAAGGGGCAGAGCAGGGCCTGGGTCTCATGCTCAGTGAGAGACTCCTGTCTTCTCAACATTCCAGCTCTGCGCTGGCCCCTTGCTTAGCAGGGCCTTGCACACAGTGGGTGCTTACCAAACTCCGTGTTGTCCATTTCATAGATGGGTCTCGGTCCCCTGCTGAGTGGTTCAGGGACCGGCCTGCCTTCTACCCCACTAGCCTGGGAGATCCAGCCAGGCCACAGCTGTCCTCACAGCCCACCCCTCGGGGCACACTACCAGTCACCTCTAGTCCCCAGACCTCTGACCCACACGGTTCTAAGTGGGGGACTGGAAGGAGGCAGGAGACCTGCAGGAAGGCCTGGGGCAGGGGCTGGAGGCTGCTGGCCAAGCATGGCCACAGTTGGGAGCTGCGGGGGACCCTGCCTTTGTTAGCCTGTGGGCAGGACGCTTATCTGACTTCCTGAAGTCAAGCAAAGGGATCTGGAATAAGCCTGGGGAGCTTGGCTGCCCACACAGTGGGGGCCCTGGGCCCTGCGAGGCCCCCACATTGGCTGCTTGGTGGCCTTGTTCTGGTGCTGGAGGCACAGTCTTTGAGGGGAAGGGGCTCTACGCCCTGAGATCTCAGGGCTTAAAGGCTAACCCTGACCCTCCTTCCTGAAGGCTGCCTCGGGGTGCAGCGTCTGAGGGCGTTTGTGATGCTGCGTGCCTCAGTTTCCCCATCTGAAGAAGGAGAGGCTTGGACTGGACGGTCTCCAGGGCCAGCTCCAAGTCTTTGACCAGTTCAGTGGGATCAGATCAATGTCCCCCTCTGGCCTCTCCATTTGCCGTCTCCCCTCCGCAGCTGCTCTCTGCCCAGGTCTCACCTGTATTGGGTCTTAGGCATCTCCAGGGTTGGAGTGGACATTGAGTCAGGGCTCTGCCCCCCACCCCAGGGGCTCAGCTCCGGCCTCAGCCTGGTCCCAGCCATGGGGAAAGTTCTGGAGGTGAGTCAGTCAGGGGCGCCTAACCAGGGTATCAGCTTACTGCT